AAAATGTTAACTTAGCTCCAAATTTTATTACTTCTAACACTCAGAGGTGATTGAGATATATAAGAGTACTTCAAAAATTTGTGGAAAGTAGAATTAAAAGATAAGTTTATTTTGGTGCAAACATCTTTTGAAATCCCTCCATAGATTTTTTTTTCATCCATATGCATTTTCCACAAACTTTTCGAGGATCTATCAAGTGAATGGATTTCACCATTTCTAATTAATTTCGAATTTCTAATTAATTAATTAATTTTTATTTGAAAGGTAGGGAGACAGAGGCAGAAACAAACAGATATATTCATTTGCTGGCTCACTCCTCATATGCCCACAAACAGCCAGGGCTGGGCCAGGCTAAGCCAGGAACCAGGAACTCCATCTAGGTCTCCTACGTGGAGTTCATGGACCCATAAACTGCTGTCTGCTATGTGCTCATGAGCAGGAAGCTACATTCAGAAACAGAAAAAGAACTCAAACCCAGACACTCTGATATGGGATGCAAGTTTCCTAAACAAGTGTCTTAACCACTGTGCCAAACACCCATACCAAACTTATCTTTTAATTCCATTTCCATAATTTAAAAAAATATTTATTTATTTATTTATTTATTTATTTATTTATTTTCATCTACTTGAAAAGCAGAGCAACAGATAAAGAGATCTACCATCTGCTGGTTTACTACCCAAACACCCACAACAATCAGGATTGGGCCAATGTAGAATCCAGGAGTTTAAAACTCCATCAAGTCCCAACATGGGTGTCAGGAGCCCCAAAACTTGAGACATCATCTGCTGTTGCCTCCAAGGATGCATTAGTAGGAAATTGGATTGGAAGGATATGGACTTTCCATGTAGCCGCTTAACCAGTTGGGCCACAATGCCCACCCCTCCAAGAATTTTCTGAAGCAGATCAGTACTCAAATAGTGTAAGAAAATGTGCCCCCACATATTTTTCAATTTAGTCAAACAAATTTTAATGGAAGATAATCTATAAGGTATGATAACTGATGAAATTACAGTTAAGATAATAACAATAATTAGCACCAAGAAGCACACAATCATGTGTAAATTTAAGGAAAAATGATAAGTCATCTTAGAAATAGTAGAGACTCAAATTTTAGTTGGTGTTAACTAAGCAGTGCTGACACTTTCGGCTGCAAAGGATTCACTGTGGCAGCATAAAAGTTGGAACTAGTTAAAGATGAACTGCTGCTGCTTCATCCACTGCAGTTTCTCACAGGGCTCTCTGTTCTGGCCAATTTCCAAGCAGATTGTGGCCTTTCCTTCGTTGTGTCTTTTAACCAACTGAGGAGTTATAAAAAGGAAAGGCTATGGTAGGGGTTCTCATGACTATGTTCCCATGCTGTCAAAAGGCTTACAATTCTCTCTAGTGACAGGAGAGATTATGATCAACCCCATGTCTAGTCCAATTGCTCCCAGCAAGCCAAGATTTCTGGGAATGCGTGCCATGATCCATCTGTCTGAATGGAAACCTGACATCCCTGCAACTCTAGCTATGCAGACAGAATGGAGTGAGGGCACAGGCTGTCCGGGTATCCCAGAAGGCTGCTTGGAGGCATTCAGGCAAGGTAGTTCCCGCAGGATACATGGGCTGCTGTATACTTTGGGTCATGAGGGAATCAGGTGAGTAGCCCATACTTCTGGTCTGGAGGGGACCACATACCATTCCATACTTCCAGTGAGGAGGGGATCACCTGACCAACCCGTGGGAGATTCTCTGGGGCCCAGAAGGAAGAAAATACCGTGCATGCACAAGCCAGAAACTTGCACATGTGTGATGCATTTCCTCATACAGAGCTTCCGGGGATAGGTCACGCCAGCAGGGCCTCAGGCTGGTTACTGCCATTAGTCAGGCATTGTGTGCCTGCGATTCGCACTGTGCCAGGTCCTAGAGCCTGCCAATGGGATCATCCTGGGTATGCACATTCCCTGTGTTAAATGGCAGCCAGAAGCCGACTGGGGCTTATCCAGACCAAGAGATACTACTTTTTTTATCCTACACATTCCAATAAATATTTTATGAAGAACTGCTGGAATTCAAGACAACATGCTGTTCCCCAAAATATGGTGCAGTCTTTTATCATACATTTTACCATAAACTTAAAATAACTTCTGAATCATAAAAGCAGTAGAAAAGATATTCAATGAAGAAATAGCACAGTTCACTTAAAAATTATTCATTTTAATTTTATTTGAGAGACAGGGAAACAAAGAGCATGCTTCCATCCACTGGTTCACTCCTCAAATGCCTACAACAGCCAGGGCTAGAGCAGGTTGAAGCCAGGAGCCCAGAATCCAATCCAGGACTACTACTTGGATGGTAGAGACCTAAGTACTTGACTGCTGACTTCCCAGGTAGGCATTAATAGGAAGCTGGATCAAAGTGAAGTATAGCCAAGACTCAATTAGACACTTCAATATGGGATGTGGGCATCATAAGCAGGGACTTAATTGCTGCATCAAATGCTCACCCTAACATAACTCACTTTTGTAGTGAGTAGAATGAGGTAATGTAACATCCAGATCAGTGTTCTATAAACAGAAGCACATACATAATATTACTTTTCTGAATTTCACTTGTAACAAGAGCTGCATGTATGATTTTAAATTGTCTAGTACACACATTAAAAATAAAACAAAACTGGTAAACTAAAAATAGCATATTTTATCCAAATACATTAATATGTTATTTAAAAATAAATATTAAAATACTAATGACATTTATATTTTGTACTGTGCATTCAAAAATCTGGTTTGTATTTTACATTCTGGTTTGGATGCTTTATCTTCAGTGGATAAAGTGAAATTTAATCCTATCAAAACAGAGTTGTGTTTAACAGAAAAGAATTTCAACTTCTTCAATTTCAAAATTAAAAATGCACTGAATTAAACTCAATTAAGAATTCATTCTCTCAGTTGCACTTGCCACATTTCAAGTACTACACAGTCCATATGGCTAGTAGCTACCATGCTAGTGAATCAGATCTAGATCATTCAAGACAAGATGAAGAGGCTTCTGGTAATTCAAAAGGAAATAAAAGGATCAAAACCATGTAGGAAGTTCTGAGAAGGATTAAGTGAACCAAAAAAGAGGAAGTGACTTCCTGTTGTCTTCTGGAAAGCAAATAAACCTCAATATGGATAGCTTATACAAGACAACTATGTATAATTTGGGGCCGGCACTGTGGCACAGTGGGTTAAAGCCCTGGCCTGCAGCACCGGCATCCCATATGGGCACTAGTTCCAGTCCTGGCTGCTCCACTTCCAATTCAGCTCTCTGCTATGGCCTGGGAAAGCAGTAGAAAATGGCCCAAGTCCTTAGGCCCCTGCACCCATGTGGAAGACCCGGAAGAAACTCCTGGCTCCTGGCTTCAGAACAGCTCAGCTCTGACTGTTGCAGTCATCTCGGGAATGAACCAACAGATGGAAGACCCCCCCCCCCCATCTCTCTCTCTCACTCGCGCTCTCTGGCTCTACCTCTCTCTAACTCTGTCTTTCAAATAAAAAAATATTAAAAAATAAATAAAAGTATAATTTAAGTAAAGACATCATCTTTGTATATTCATTTATAAAAAATACTCTCCTTATCTTCCTATGATTATTTATAATCCCCAATAAAACTTTAGCAATCTCTTTCTATGATGTCATTTAGCTCTATATATCCATCTGTCCCCTACTAAGGCATCAAATAAGATTTCATCCATTCCAATATTTTGAGATACTTTTGAATATCTCCAATATCTGTTTTCTCTATCACATTCTCACTACCCTTGGCTACATGTTTCATCATTATCATACATTGATTGCTATAAAAGGTTTTTAACTAATTTTTGTATTTCATTTTTGTCCGTCTAATCCACATTGCACACCTCTATTACATTAACATTTCTATAGCATTTTCAGAATCTGTTATTATTCTTATAACATATTCACTGACTCTCCTCCGTGTCCAGAATAAGCTCATTATTCTTACAGGTTTCTAAGAAAAACTTTCAGTCATTTTGGTACCAAACTACTTTTTTTCCTGTTTTTGTTCTTCAATTGTTTATTTAGTTTTCCATCTCTTCACATCAACTGTGATCTCCTTAAAGTTCAGGCTCTTATGCATGGATTTCAATTTTTTGTACACAAATAAACTTATATTTTAATCTTTGAAGTATGTGATATTGTTCTCATAGAATTCTCAGCATGCTATGCTGTATTTTGTTTATTTTTAAAAATTTTTTTAAATTATTTTTTTGACAGGCAGAGTGGACATTGAGAGAGAGACAGAGAGAAAGGTCTTCCTTTTCCGTTGGTTCATTCCCCCAATGGCCACTGCAGCCAGTGCACCGCGCTGATCCGAAGCCAGGAGCCAGGTGCTTCTCCTGGTATCCCATGCAGGTGCAGGGCCCACAGCACTCCCGGGCCACAGCAGTTATCTGCCTTCTTGATATATGTTTCTGCGTAGCACATAAGTTTAGATCACAGAGAAAAATACCTATCCATGATTCATGCCTACTATTCAAGATTTTTGTTATACTAATTAGCAAAACCCACAAAAGCCAATGCATTTTAATTACTTATCTACATGATCAACACAGCCCCTATAAACAGACTTCATTTTAAGCCATCATGTCATTGTGTTTTCACACGATGAGGATGAATGAATGAATGATTGAAGAGAAGCAGAATGGAGGTAGGATGAAATTAAAACAAGTAATACTAAAAGTGATGGTAACTTTATGCTACCACCCATACAAATTAAACTTATTACTTCAAAGTATAAAGCTGTTAACCATTTTTATAGAGTGTTTAAAGAAATCAATTGAACAAATTTGTTTGGTGAAACTTTGTGAGTCCATGGACAAATAAAAACTGTATTCTTTGAAAAAATTAGCACCTGTCCTTTGAAAATTACAAAAATTTGTACCAAAATAATACTGCATGCATTTTTATTAGGAGGAAATTGCTTTAAGGAAATAAAGACATCACAGCATTAAATTCTCTTGTTTATCAATTTATTAGATTTTCATGACTTGAGTGTTCATCTCAATCCTCAACATACTTATCTGCCAGACACAAAAAATAGCAGTGAATTTATGAGACCATAATGAATAAAATTTATGAAATGTATAGATACAAATATTTCCAAGGCAAAGAAGGAAAACTGTTGATATGTAGACACAATAAAATTTCAAACATTTCTTTGATTTACAAAAGTATGTCTACTTTTTCTTTTACACTAAATGAATACAACGACTTTTAAAGTATATGTAGGTGTGTGAGTATAGACACACACGCAATACAGAAATACTTTATACATAAAAAATTTAGTGCACTTCCAAAGTGCTACAGAAACTATCATTCACAGACATCCACATGCAAACACTACTGTACTAGTACAATAGAGCAAATATGAAAGTATCAGAACTCCCTCTCAAAAAAATTTTTAATGGAAATAATGAAACAGAAATCTACTTCTTATCTGTACAGTATTGAAAATAATCTTTATTATCTGAATTATATATAGACACATTATTATCTAAGCCGAGAAAATAACATCTTATTATATATATAGAACTGCATTGTATACTCAGCAACTATAAGCATTGTGCCATGACAGTGTTTGAGGCATAGTGGCAGAAAAGAGATCTAACCACGAAAAAATAAAAAAGAAAGGCATTATAAGGATAGGAATGCACAACGCAAGGCAGTAGAGTGGGAAGAGAGTATGCAGAAGTGGAAAAAAACAAGTTACAACACTGAAATTAATCATGAATGCTGGATGGGTAATAAGATGGGTAAGAAAGAAGATGTTAAAAGAATTTCTGTTCCTCATTTTAGCTATCTATAGAATTGTCAGTCATTGCCAAAGACCTGTTGGAATGTGTTTTGGCTATATTATGACACGAAACACAACATTGACTTTGCCAAAATTATTTCAGAGTTATTGAAATACAAAACCATTTGTGAAGATGTTCTACAAACTGAAAAATGCTACACTCATTTAATACATTTTACACAATATTCAGAATAAACACTTCTTTACAATTATGGGAAACTGTAAACAATAAACTCTCCAGACAAATCACATAGAGGAATAATGTTCTCTGCATCTTTTTTCATATTTAAATAGAATAGCAGGCTACACAGTCACAGAGAAGCCTAACATCAAAAACAGAGCAAAAATGGTGAGAAATAAATTGAATGGAGAGGTATGCAGATACATATATGAGCAATGTCTCCACTCCTGGCATTTTCCACAGTAATATTTTAAGGGGAAATTATTCATTGTGGGAAATAAAGAGATTCTCTTTAATGCTTCACCCAAAATGTCAAAAACCATTGCTATCTTCACATGCATAAGATAAATTATCCCAATTTCCACCTTACATCAGAAAAGACTGAGAGGGTAAAAAGATGACTAAATTAATCAAGATACACCAAAACATCTAACACTTTTCTTACTGGTGAAAAACTGGAAAAGAAAAATGTCTAACAAATTGTATGCACATATGTGCATTATTATGACCACTAAACAGCCAGAACACGGAGGTTAGTGGGACTAAATTATTCCAGATTACTTATCCAGCATCATAGGACCCAAATTAGATCAAGGATCTGTTTCATAACAAAGTCTTATGTGGCAATTATACAACATAGCCTCCCATCATAAAAAGAGGTCAGGAAAATATACAGTGAAAACAGCTAACTTTTTTTAAAATATTTTCTCATCCTATCACTGTTTAATAAATAATTTGGCATTAAAAAAATTTCTGTAAACTTTTATAAATGCCTTAAAAAGAAATGTTTCCTATGACACTCTTTAAGTAACTCTACCAAGAAAATTCATCTGATCAAAAAGAAATATAAACATGAATTTATGCATTAATCAGAGGCAGCTGCTAATATCACAAAAAGAGAAAATCAGTCAAGGATGGGACACATGGTAAAAGAACAAAACACAATCACTCTAATATTCATGTAAAAACTCAGCACATACTGATCAAATTTCCACATCCAACTACAAAATTGATGAAAAAAATTAAATACCACCATAGGAAAACAGTTACAAACAGCTAAAAAGCTAGGCAAAATCATGGGAAACAACCTGTTTATTCAAACAGTAAAACACCAAGAAAAAAACAAGATCTCAAGGGGATACATACAAAAGAAACAGACACTTAAGAGAATGGGTGAATAGCACATGGGTGTTAATTAGTACACAGCGATTTTTATACATGTTTGAAAAAAAATCAACATGCAACCTCATAACTGCAAAACATTCAAATAATTTAGAAGGAAAGGATGTTATCAATGAATCACAGAGTTGAATCAACCCTACAAAAACCAATCGAAAAGAATTAATTTTATAAATAAGTAAATTCAGATCAGATAGGTTAAGTGGTTTGCTCAGGACCACAGAGCTTGTCAGTTCCAGACTAAAGATCAGAATTTAAATCCCCAAACTAGTAGTCCAGGGCTGTGTTCTATTGCAAATCCAAAAGAACATGACAGTATTTAAACATTTAATCCAGAACACCCTCAGAACTGAGTGTATGTACTAAAATTAAGCCACACAGCGAGGAATGAATACAGTTGTTTCATACCAGAAATGAGCTGCCAGTCACTGTGGTAAGATCTCTTTCTTTCTGAGAACCATGGTTTCCTGTTGGATTGGAGAATCCAAACTGGGTTTGTCCCTCCCGTCTGAAGAAGTCAGAGTCAGGATGTACATTCCAATCTGCTTTGGTTGGTGTCAGTAGTTCTGAGACACTGTTTTCACAAAGGGTGCTGGAAGGAGTCAGAGCTTCTGTGTCCACTGTTAACTTACTGCTGGGTGTCAAAGCTTGGGGCTCAGGACTGGAGCTTTTCATAGCCACAGAACCCAGAGATCCCAAGGGCCCGGCAGCTGCACCTGAGACATCATCCGTATCTAAGGTGTTCTGCTGAAAACTGGCTGCCGTTGTTCCAAAAAAGAGAGAGGTATCCAGACTTTGAGGAAGGTCACTGGTGGCCATCAAGGCCCGGGGGTCCACAGCCTGCCCTAAGGAATTATTATTACTAGCAGGGAGGGTCCCTGCCAGAGATGAGCTTACAGAAGCCACATCGATGGTCAAGATCCCAGAGTTCACTAATGCTGTGTCCAACACTGCAGCAGAACTATTGCCAGGCACATCAGAGAAGAGAGACACTATCTCGGCATCACTGAGATCATTCTGTCCCTGGCTGGTAAGTTCATTGCTGGGTGTAAGAGAATCTGTGGCTTCTAGCTGAGCTAAGAGATCCTGGCCAAGGTTGTGCCTTTTGGCCATGTGGGTCTTCATGCTGTGCTTGGAGGTGAAGAGCTTATTACAGGTGGAGACCGGACAACGGCTTTTCCAAGTGTCCACATCTTGCAGGTGTTTCTTGGAGTGAATGTAGAGACTACTTCGAGCGGAGAACCTGGCACAACAGCCTTCTACAGGACACACGAAAGGTTTTGTGCCCAAGTGGGTTATGCTGTGGCCTTTCAGATGCTCGGCTCTCGTGAAAGATTTCCCACAGCCTTCCACGGGGCACGTGAACCTCCGGTCATCGTCGTGCTTCCTTTTGTGCCTTAAGAGTTTAGACATGCTGGTGAAGTTCCAGCCACAGCCATCAAAGTCACAAAGGAAAGGTCTCTCACCCGTGTGGCTCCGCAGGTGAATTTTCAGCCTACAAGCCTTGTCATACTGTTTGCTGCAGCCAGGAAAAGAGCAGGAAAAGAGTTCCTGTTCCCTGAAATGGGCACGGTTATGGGAAAACAGGGCACTCACTGTAATGAATGTCTTCTTGCAGCCGGAAAACGCACACTGGTAGGGCCTCTCGGGCTCGAAGTGGCTACGCTGATGGGCGCTGAGCTTGGCCTGTGTGGGGAAGCTCTCCTCACACACTTCGCATTTGAAAGAGTTCTCCTGCTCATGGCCCTTCATGTGTGCCTTGAGGTTGTATACGGTGGTGAAGCTCTTGCCACAGCCTTCCGCAGGGCAGCCAAAGGGCCGCAGTTTGTCGTGAGACTGCAGATGTCTTTTGAGCTTGTACGAGGTGGTGAAGGTCCAGCCACAGCCGCCCAAAGGGCACTTGAAGGGCCGTTGGCCCTGGCTGCTGCTGTGTGTCAGCAGGTGCACCTTCAGCTGGTGCTTCTTGGCGAAGGTTTGCCCACACTGTGCCTCGGGGCACAGGTATAGCACCACGCCTGGGCTTGGGCCCAGTGACCCGCGGGGGCTCGGAGCGGCAGCTTGGCCCTCTGCCTCCTCCTCGGGCGCAGGGGCTGGCGCGGGTTCTGCCGGCTCCGCCAGGAGGAGGTCAGGCGGCAGCTCTGGGCAGTCGCCAGGTTGCGTGGCGTGCGGCAGCCCAGCTTGAGGGACGATCAGATCCCTAGGTTGCGGGGCAGGCCCGACCCCAGGCTCCCAAGCCGGCAGCGGGGGCGTGGCCAGAGTGAGGACGCCGTTCTCAAAGCGCAATAGCAGGTCCTGGTTGTGGATAGTGATGGTACCCGCGAAGGCCGCCGCGGGGCCCGAGCCTAGAGCCGGGGCCGGGGACCGGACGGGGGCCGCGGACAGGCAGCGGGGGCCCAGCGCAGGCCGGGCCGCAGGGCTCGCGCCGCTCTCGCCCCGTTGGGGCTCCGGCCCCGCCTCGGCCTCCTCCCTCCACACGGGCCCTGCGGCCTTACCCGCGCCCACGGTCTCCACGTCGCCACCCACCGGGTCGAGCAGCACCAGGAAGAAGTCGTCGTCGCCGCCGCCGCCGCCGCCGCCGGCAGAATCCGGCCTCGGCGCCAACAAGCTCGGGCCCAGGCCCCGTGAGGCAGTGCGGGCCTCTTCGCGCCGCCGCCCGGGCCCGCCATCTTGGGGGCCCCGGAGCAGCAGGAGGCGGCGCGCCGGGGTCTGACCAGCCGACAGGTCAGGACTTCGGTGGACCCGGACGCCGCCCGCGGAGCTACCGCCACAGCCGCTGCCGCCCTGTGGTGTCCCGTGAGCTGGGAGCGGCCTCGGGATTTCCATCTCTGAGTCCGTGAGGCTGGGCTGGAACCGGAGCGGCGGAGGCGGCGCGACCACGCCCCCTGCCGCGGGCCCGAATACGTTCCTGAAAGGGAAAAAAAATGTGCAATGCGCAGAAACTGGCCCTATCAGATATTAAAACGTATTTAACGCCACAGTGATTTAAATATTTTGGTACTGGGTCTCTGGGACAGAATAGAAAGCCCAAGGGCCATACCTGGTGTACATAAATAAGTCCCACAGTTAATATTAGTAAGCAATCAAGGAGGTCTTATGAGGTAATGGGGAAACGACAGCTCATTCGGTAATGGTGCTGCAATACCTTGGTATCTCTCCTCTAAAAGCACTTTAAATCCGTACCTCACTATATATACCAAACGAAACACACTCCAGCTTCTCCGGTACTTTTCACGTGCTAAAAAGTTTGTTTGCTGGCTGGCTGGCGGTCTGGATTGATAGCAGAGAGAAAACTCCTGAGAAAGTAAACTGTGTCAACATTAAACTGCCAAACCGGTGAAAACACCCCCCCGCACCAGTCCCTGCCACCACCTTCTGCTCTCCCCCCTCCCCCGCCCTGGCCAACATCACACTCAGAATCTTCTTGACCAAGATCCTGAGGCAAATGTACAGCACAATTACATTTTTGTCCTTCTGGTACAGAGATTTAGAATGAGTGAGAGATGGGATTGGTTCTGTTCAGCCTAGAACTGCAAAGTCTAGAGGATGAGATGATTTATACTGAAAGCTGGAAAACTCAACCGGCTCCTGGGTTCTCCCAATACAGTACTCAATCTTTGCCCTTCTGCCACTGGTTGGTTATGCCATGATAAATTTCAATTCTAATCTCACAACATGATGACGATAATCTTCAGCTTACTGCATATTCTCTATCACTTTTGTGGTCTCTGGACAGAAGTTCCAGTTAAATGTGGTAAGGTGAAGCCCCAAGTCACTGCCATGGACTATTCCTAGTAAAATGCACAGATGACCTTATTCAAAAGCCCCAGTGTAGCTGCAGCATTTAAGCGTGGAGGCCCAATCTTCCTGTAATGAACTCGACCTGTGGTGCCTACTGATGGTGGCAATCCTCCAATATGTCTGTCATCGATAAATTGGGAGTTGACACAAATATAGGTCAAAATGTCTAGTAAGACACAAATTCAGGGTGATGACTAGATTATGAGGCACCGATCACTTGACTAGTCCCTGCTCGCCCCACCCTGCCTCATTTTTTTTTAATTATAATGGAAACGCGCTTGTCTCTTGGAAAACCACACAGCGTTCATATACAACATTCCAAACCTCGATAAAATTTCTACTTTACATACTTTTCTTTCTATTACATTTTTTTTTAGAGGGAAAGCATTTTTCAAATTTGAGATACTGAAGAGTGCATAAAATATATCTGTATGATTAAGATAATTTACAAAAGCAAGTGCCCACATAACCAGGGCCCAGGTGGAGAAATAGATCACCTGCACCCTTCCAGAAAACAGCCACTGTCTTCCTTCCAGTCACAAAGCACACCTTCCCATATGGATATCATCATTATCTGCACTTCGCAATAATCATTTCTGTGCTTTTTTGTGTAGCTTTCCAGCTTTGGTACATGTCCCTAAACAATGCAGCTTATTTGAAGTTATAGAAATTTTTATCTCACTGCATGGTTTCTTTTATGGTGGCTACTTCACTGTATAATATATTTGAGAGATGCATCCATGGTTTTCCTAGTAACTGCAGGTACATCTATCGTCATTGTGGAGTAGCAGCATCCACCCCAGTGTATGCTTATAGCAAAGTGATCATGGTGTGATTATGTCATTCCATGCTACAGTGGATGGACACTGGAGTTATTTCTACTGTTTGACTGTTACTGTGAACATTCTTCCACATTTCTCATGGAACACATGTGCAGAAGTTCCTGGCAACAGGAACACAAGGCCACTGGGCCATGGGGGTATGCGCATCTTCAGCTCTGGTAGCAGATGCCAAATTATTTTCTGTAGTGATTGTGTCAATTTTCAATCCCACTAGCAGCACGGGAAGTTCCAGCTCTTCCACGTACTCACTACATCACATATTGCCAGAATATAGTTTCTGCTGAACTGTGGGTGAGCAACACCCAAGTTACCATTAAGCCTTAGCATAATTTCGTGTTGATGAACCTTTTGGAATGTTCTCTGTTGTGAAAGCACTGTTCTAATTCAACCATTTTAACTCATTTTTCTATTCTACTTTACACCTTGTGTGGCTTACTGATTTAATGGGTTTGTTAAATACCACTCCATACAAGTGGCCAAAATATTCCCTTGCTCTGTTGTTTGTATTTTTCACTTGACTTGTGTTGTGTTTTGTGAACAGACGATCTTAGTTATAGTCAAACGTAGCATTCTTTGCCTTACGGGTAGTGCTTTTCTGTTTTCAGAAATATTTTTTCTTATGTTTTAAGTAACATGGGCCATGAACATATTCTCTACATTACTTTTTTTTTTTTCATTTGACAGGTAGAATTGTAGACAGTGAGAGAGAGAGAGAGACAGAGAGAAAGGTCTTCCTTCCGTTGGTTTACTCCCCAAATGGCCGCTATGGTTGGCGCTGCACCGATCCGAAGCCAGGAGCCAGGTGCTTATTCCTGGTCTCCCATGCGGGTGCTAGGACCCAAGGACTTTAGCCATCCTCCACTACCCTCCCGGGCCACAGCAGAGAGCTGGACTGGGAGAAGAACAACTGGGACTAGAACCCGGCGCCCATATGGGATGCCAGCGTTGCAGGCAGAGGATTAACCAAGTGAGGCACAGCACCGGCTCCTCTACATTACCTTTTAACATACGTATAGTTTTGTCTTTCACAGTCATGTCCTAACCCACCTGCAAGTTATATTTGTGTATAGTGTTGAGTAAGTTTCCATTTCTCTCTCTCTCTCTCTCTCTCTCTCTCTCTCTCTCTCTCTCTGTGTGTGTGTGTGTGTGTGTGAATGCAGTGTCCACAGTGAACCACTTCCTGAAAAGTCTGCTCATTTCCAGCTGATTTGAAGTGCCACGTTTGCCTTCAATCAAGTATCTACATGCGTGTGGGGTAGTTTCTATACTCTTTAGTAAGTGTCGTGGCCCTATGTGTCTGTTTAAAGTACCACACTGTCTTAATTACTACAGTTATATAGTCCATCCTGATATTTGGATAAGGCGAATCTGTTCTACTTTGCCTTCAAAAGTGTCTTGGCTATTTTGGGCCCATTTTAATTCTTTTTAGATAATCAATTCATCATTCATCATAAAATGTTCAACCAAAAGCTTGTTTGGGGTCCTAATTAGAATTGTGCTTATGTTTTAGATTTGATGTCATTTCGACATTGAATATGCCCATGGCCTGTGTCTCCTTTAGATAAGAACTTCTTTAATATGCCTCAATAATATTGTATACATTTTCCATAAGGTGACTTCTTACACTAGGTACTTCATAGTTTGTAGATGCTATATTTGAAATTTTCTATATTTGTTGCTGGCAAATAGAATGTAATTGAGTTTTTATGTTAATTTTAACTTACATGCCTCTAAGCTCTCACAGTGATTCCAATAATTTGTGTGTAAACACTTTTATAATTTTATGTACACAATCATACCATCTGCAAATAATCCCAATCATTCTTCTTCCTTTCAAATTTTTTCTCTCTGCCTCACTGGTCTCTCTCAATAGTTCCCAGTCCCACCTCAGAAGGCCAGGGTACTATTGAACAGAAGTGGTGATAGTGGCCCGCCTTACTTGGTGTGATGGTCAAAGAGAAAGCTTCCAGTGATTCTCTGTAAGAAGGGTGTTTTCCATACATGTAGGGATCTGATTCAATCAGGAGATGGGCAGTACACAGTAATCTAGGCAGGGGAAATCACATATAAAGAATTATTAAACTCTGATAGTAACTCTTATTTAAGAACTAAAGGAACACTGGATGGGGTCTTCTGGGGCAGAGGTAAAATCCTAGATGAAAGACAAACTTAGAATGGAGGTTCCTCCCTCTGATGGTTAACACTATGTTGTCAGCTCAATTGGAGTAAGAAAAACCTAGAAGCCTGGAAAAGCATTACTTTGGGTGTGCCTGTGAGGTTGCTTCCAAATAAGACTACCCTGTGAGGTGGATATGGGTGGACGTCTTCAACGGTCTGGGGATCTACACGGATTAAATGGGAAGGTGATTTTGGCCTCTAAGGGAGAGAGACATGGGACCCACTGGACTCCTGTCTCTGATGTCAGTTGTTGGCCTTGGGATTTCAGGACTACACCTGCCTCTCCCCCCTTATTTTCACTCAGGCTTTTTGGCCTCAAATGGAGGCTCACACCCTCAGCTTCTCTGATACTGAGGCCCTTGGAGTTGGACTGGGCCATGCTATTAGCATCCCAGGCTTTACAGCCTGCAGAAGACCTGTTGTGGGATTTCTCAGCTGCCACCATCACATGATACGAACCCCCTAATAAATTCTCTTTCCCATATCCTTATGAATATCCCATCAATTCTGTATGCCAGGAGAACCCTGTCTAATACACTCCCCAAGGCTGGAATTCACACGTAATTGTAGAAAAACTCAGTGGACGGTAGAGAATTTCCAATGGTTTGTCAGTAACAGAGCTTGTCTCCAGTCACAGGGCAAGTGGGAATCAACTGTCGTCAACATGGCAATATGGACAAGTCATAGCTGGTAGCCAGTATGTGGGTAGTGTCTATAGTAGGTGTGTGAGTGTGTATGATGAGGTGGGGGTGTCCTGGTTCAGTTGGAGACCTGGAGTCAACCATGGGATTTGGCAGGCTACAGGTTTGGAAGGACTATGTAAACATCAGGCAGGCCCTGCGTGTGTGTGTGTGTGTTTGTGTATGTGTGAGAGAGAGAGAGAAGCAGTGCACAAGGGATTTAGAGCACGGGATGTCCCTATCAAAAGGGCTACAAGAAGCAGAACACACGGCTACACTATGACTACACGTTTGCTCAGAGACAGTTGCTCTGGGCCCATGCCTGGGACAGAGTGTGCAGGTATCCTCACGCCTACACCTCAGCGCCAGAAATCACAAAGGGCCACATTGTGGATCA